GGGGAGGGGGGGAGGCCTTGGGATGGCTGGCCAGGGACACCCAATCCTTGGGGGACAAAGGTGACCTGGCCCCGTGCCCAGACATAGGGACATGGAGCTCTGGCACCTGCGGCGATGCCTCCCCTGGGGAGGGCAGGGAGCCCCTGGCCCAGGCCAGCACCCACTGCAGAGCCAGGGCCCCACCGCAGGCACCCTTCCCTCCCTCCCCGAGTCATTCCTACCCGCGTAAGAGCACACCACAACATAAACAAGGTCATTTTTATTTTAAAAAAAACATACGGGGAGGGGGGAACCCAAACAAAAAAGTACAACAACACGGCCACAGAACGCGTGAACTTCACTCGTACTAGTGTTACCCATCAGAGCAAAGACCAAGGGAAGGTTTATGGCATTATCCTATAAAAACCGACGTAATTCCCCAACGCAGAAGGCACTTCACTTCCCTTAAAGCCATTACAAAGCCAAAGAGGGGTTGGAAACCCAGAAGTGCAAAGTCCAACTGTGTCTCCATCCTGGAAGTCCCAAGTTTCAACAGTGGCTAGAAACCCCAGGGTTGCTCCTATGAAGGCAAAGCACAAAAATCCCTCTGTTTTAAGATCTTAAAAGATCTTTAATAACCTGCACCCGTCAACCCATCAGTTGGCAGACGCTGGTGATGGAACCTTCACTGCCGCCGTCAGCAGGTACCACAGAGCTCGTGGACATCGCAGCTCACGTGTCAGCCAAATGACTGACACACCCAGTAAGAACCTGTTTTCCTCTCTGAAAGCCAACAAAAACCTCGGAGCAGGACCAGACCCTCACTCACAGTCTCCCCACTGGCTGCCGGGGGAGGATTAACCCTGGAATCTTGAGAGTACAGCTACACCACTAACACTGACAGCGGACAGCATTACAGCGCCACGAGGCCGTATTTCTAGTAAACCTTGTCATCTGTAGCAAAAAGCTATAACCAAAAGCATCTGATTTTTATCCCGTGGAGGCAGCTCCACACCCCCAAACACGAAGTCTGGATTTGCACAGCAGGAGGCAAAGAAGTGGGAGGAGGCACAGCAGGGTATTTACAAAAGCTGAACGGTTTCACCTGTAATAACTGACCGGTTTCACCTGTATGAACTGACAACCCTTCACAAGGGCCTGAAAATACATTCCCATCATAAAACAAACACAAATTAACATAGAACTCTTTTCCTTTGTTTCAAACTAGGCTGAGACCAGAAGAGTTGTCTACATACCACTCCAACCTGTTCTTTAAAAAAATAAAACAATCTCTGAAAATTTGGTCATTTGTTCCTTGAGCAGCTTCTAAAAAGTAATTCTCAGGTCAGCAAAAGTTTCGCAGAAACGAGACAACCCCTGAAATGGGGGCTGTTTCCAACCATTACAGCCCACCAGCTCCTGCAGGCATCTCAGAGCGCTCTCCAGTCAACGGGCTTCTTGCCAGATTTCTTCAGCAATTCGTTTGTCTTTGAGAAATGCCGACAGCCGAAAAACCCTCTGTTGACAGAGAGGGGTGAGGGATGAACCGTCTGCAGGACGTGGTGGCGTTTCTGTAAAGGAAACCGCTGGTTACATTTGCATTTCGGCTCCTGAAAGAGCCCGGTTCTGCCCCGACCACGCAGGTGCGATTTCCTCTCCGCACCCCTCAGACACCAGCCCGAGGCCCCCAAGAACCGGCCGTGAGGACCAAGACTTCTACCCCACTGAGCAGAGGAGGGTGACTACGTAAAGCAGCAGTAACACCCCGGCCATTTTTCAACTGCTGTAATCCCAAATGCAAAGTTTACACTTATTTAGGAGCCTTTTCTTAGACAAAACACAGTTCTGTCCTCAGCTGGAGGCTTTTCTAACAGAAAGTTATACTTGCTCCACTTTTATTGCTTAATTCTGCCAAAGGCTAAGCGGGAAGAGAAGGGCAACTAAATCTGACAGCAAAGTTCAGGCAGAGAGAAACCCCCAATTCTGTAAGGGAAGTGCCCTCTAGTGTCCACCCGACCGATGGAAAAGCAGTGAGGGAAGAGGGGCGACCCCGTACCCTGTCAATGGAGCTGCCTTTCTTCTGGGCATAGGCTCCCCACAGCATGAAGACCACCCCGTGCAAGTTCTTGTTGAGCCAGGACACCACCACGTCCGTGAACTGCTCCCAGCCCCGCTCCTTGTGGGAGGTGGCCTGGTGAGCTCGCACCGTGAGGACAGCATTGAGCAGGAGCACTCCTGTCAGAGAGAGCAGAAAAAAACCCAACATTAACTGCTTTTTTCTTGCTTCCCCTGAGAAATGATGAATTAAATTTTCATGCTAAGGTACCTGCTAAACAACAGGCACTCAGGACTGATTTTCTCTTACAGCTGGACTGTTTCCAATCACGGGTCTGTTGTCTAGATTGGGGCTGTTTTGTGACCTCTGGTAGACACGCTACTCTGAACTCACCTTGCTTGGCCCAGCCAGTTAGATCACCATGACCCGGATGTGTGAAGTCCTCAATATCTGTAGACAGTTCTTTGTAAATATTTTCTAAACTGTGAACAAAACCCATCAGAAGCTTTTTAATAAGCATGTTTAATAGAAGAGTAAACAGCACCACATTCTGTTCTTACATCAGAAAAGGGTATTGATTTTAATCTTGTCATTTAAGGTAAAGCCATTTGTAGAAGCAGGGCAGCAAGGACACCCCTGTGTGTGTCTGACTGGAAGTTCAATGAGAAGGTCTCAGCACAACTGAAAATGCAAATTTACATCCAGCATTTTCCGAATACCACCAAACCACACAGAATTATCCATACTTCTGCAGTGATGTTTTTCCTAGGCAACACATAACTCAAATTTAATTATCGCAACACACATTATATCAATTATCTGGCTCACACAGAAGTGCAAATGATTCTTAGACAGAAGGGGTTTTGCAAATTGAGCCCTGTCATACCTGGGGGGAGGCGGAACAGGCTTCTGGACACTGAAACACAGCCCATGAGCTTGATTAGGTCCATGATATGGATCTTGTCCCAAAATGACCACCTTCACCTGAAAGCAGACCTTTGTTAGCATCAAATTATAACCAGTAATATCCCCAAAAGAGGCAAAGTTTAAAGAAAAGGCTTATAAATGAGCTTTATTCTAAAACTATCACACAAACAACATAGAAACCCCAACCAAACCCCCAGGAACTGAAGTTAAATCATCGACATCTCACTATAACCAAATTAAAGAACCCAAACCCCACCTAACGCTACGGATTAACATCACCACAGCTCTACTGTTAAGATTCAAAAGACATTTTGATTGCAAAAGACTGACATTTTCAAAGAGCCACAATAAACACCTTGTGAAAGTATTTTCCAAGTATGTTTCCTCAGTTTTACGCCACACTTTTTGACACAGCTTACTGGCAATGGGATTACCTTAAACAGTGTTTTTTATCTTTTAAATTATAGCTCATTACAGAACAGTAAAAAAAAAAAAGATGTAGGAGATCCAAAAATTAAGCACTATGTTATATTGGTAACATTGAAAATAAGGTCAAAAATCCAACTAAGTTTTTAAAGGAAATTCTGTGCCCGGTGAGGGTAATTAAGCAATAAAGCCACGTTACAGTATCAGATGAAAGAGAAGCCAGGATTTACACGTTACATGAGGAATAACAGCATCCACACCACGTGGGACTGAGGTTTAAGAGGCCAAACATCAAATGATCGTGTTTGCGAATCCATTTACACCCCTTTAAACACACCAGCGGCCGGAGACACGACACAGCCCGCCCCCACCTCACCCCCAGCAGCTCTACTCACATCCCTGATGTCGCACATCTGCGTCCAGGTGAAGACTTGGTCGGGGGGCGGATAAACCGTGTACCGTTTCCTCTCGTT